CGAGATTTGAACTCGGATCGCTGGATTCAGAGTCCAGAGTGCTAGCCATTACACCATGAGACCTTGAAAATTTTTTTATATAAGATAAAATAGTGTGTACTTGTAAATAAATATCACATACTTTTGTAACGAAATCGATCAAATATCGAAAAATCAATATCGATTATAATCGATCGATATGATAAAAGCGATTAATCATTTGATCTCATTCACATTAGACAAATTACTTGAATTTGAGAAATTTGAAACCTCATTACCATTGTAAATTTATCATTCGATAAAAATATTTATATTTCTTATTTTTTATTAACAATAATTAAAAATATAATGTTAATGATTACAGTTTGACAAAATGCGCATTATAACATGAACGAAATCTTCGAACTCGAATAGTTTAAAAATTAATCTATATTTAACTTTTCAAAGAAAAGAATATTTCAAATACGCCAAATCGATTTCAATTCAAATCACGTAATTCATCTTGTATAAACACGCATTTGAAGTCAAGTTACTTGAATCCAAGTTGTTTGTCTAATTGAACAAATTGAGTAAAGGTTAAAAAATTCATCAAATTGCGAGAATATGTAAATATATATCCTCGATATGCATACATACATATCTGATTAGAAAAACATAAGAATATGAAATTGTAAGCATGAAAAAAAGAGGATAAGAGCGATGCGTAAAAAGTATACATAAATAAGATAAAAATTAATATAATATACTACTTGTTAGAAAAAAAATAAGGAAATATCATCGCTTGAGGAAACAGCTTTAAGAGTTTTTTTTTACTAATGATACTAAAAAATAATTATTCGTTTGTTACGAAGCCTGATGTAGTTTAAATATTATTTTGCAAAAAAAAGAAAAAATAATGTCGCTTTTGTATTATATGATAATCAAAAAGAACATATACACATTTATAATATAATTCTTCGTTGAATAAACATATATCTTGTTCGATCAAATGGAAAATTAATTATCAGATCTTATCAAAAATAAAGAAGTGCATGGATGCTGCGATCATTTAGCTTGATTCAAACCTTGAATTTTCAGATAAGATAAATGACTCGATGAAATCCCTAAATTTTTAGATTTAAATAGATAAATTAAAATTTAAAGTTTTACTTAGAACGTAAGTGCCATAACAATTATAAAATATAAAAAAATAAATGTCAATTGTTCATAATTTATCATAACGAAAAACGAGAACAATCACATTTTTATGCTATAATGATAATTAAAATTAAAAATATATAGCATAATATCAAAATACAAAAAAATATGTAAAAAATCATTTAGATTAATAAAATTAAAATATCATTTGTCAATCAAATTTTTGTTAAAAATTTTTTATTATGGCAACCATTAATTTTTATGAGGCAAATAAATAATGAATCGATAACGAACATTGATGTAATAAATATTGAAATCGAAATAATTATATATTGCAAATAACGTTAACTAGCGAATATTAACTATGCTTGTAAAAAGGATGAAATGCGTGTGAACGAAACACTTGGCGATAATATCTTACGAGATAAATCGTTGCTCTATTTATTGCATGTCCTGATGAAAGTTTCAACGTATAAATAATCGCGAAATGATATCATACAAGATGTAATCGAAATATTATTTCTAAAGAGATAAATAATAAAAATTATGTAGATGGATATTCCTGTATTGTAACATTGATTAAATTTTGATATGTATTATTAAGATATAATATTTAGAAAAAAAAATTTTTTTTAATTTTAATTTTTCTATCTACAACCTTCTTATTTCAATTCTATCTTATTAATTGTATTAATTGTATTAATAATAATATCAATTTAATTTGTATTAATATTAATTGTAATAATATGTATAATATCATTGATAGAAATTGTAACTTTATTAAATCATAATCTAAATTAATTGCGAAGCATATGATGCATAGTGCGAAATATAATAATGCAAATTAGACAACCATTGAGCAACCAATGATTTGCCGCAAACATATGATACTTTGTACTTTGGTCAAGGTATGAATCAGCACTTCTTTATTTATTCTATTCGTGTTCAAAGAAACAACAGAGAAAATGAACAAGAAAATATACATACAGTGATTCAGCTGCAGTGCCAAACAATAATTTCTTAAAATGTTCCTACTCGTTTCGTACACGATGTCGCGAGACTTTTATCGAATGTAGATTTTTAAGTATGAATTTTTATTGTCCTCGCATATTTATGTATTTCCGTCAAACGTTGAATCGATTCATATTTATAATGATGGAACGTATTTTTATAAAAAAGAAAGAGAAGAAAAAAATAATAAGAAAAACAAGTTGTAAATGTGATAATATTTAATCGAATTGTGCACCCACTAACAATAAGCGATCTATGATGAAATATAATAGCGTTAAAATGCTCGAACAATGTGTAATTGTGTTAAATGAGATAAAAATATCTCATAATAAAAATAAGAATATTGCCAATTATACATGGCTATGTGATCTTTTTTACTTTGATATTATACCTAATATTTATTGTTTTATTTTATTTATTAATTTTTATAATTAATGTTATATAGATTGAAAACTAATTTGATGAATATGTCGCTAATAATAATTTATTATAACTTGATGATTGAAAATGTAGAAATAATAACAAAAATTTGAAATTTTATTCATTAAATTTTTAAATATTAATAATAAAAGTTATCGAAAAATAAAATATGATATAATAGAAATATTATCAAATAATTCATAAACATATTTAATAAATTTAAATTTCTTTTCCTTTTAACGTTTCACTTTCACTATTTCAACGATAGATGTCACATTTATAACCTTCGCATTCCTTTCTATGTAATCGTTTACCAATGATATCGATTCGCATGTAAGTAAAGTTAGTAGTGAGGCTGCAAATTTAAGAGAAGTATCGTTTGTAATTTTGTGTATAGAAAATTCGAACGAAATGGCGAGAATAGCAGCCGTTAAACAATCTTTGGAGAAGGCATTACATGATGATAACAAATTATGGACAAAATATCTCGCCAAAGTTGAAAAAAAAATAGGAGTTGATCGACTTTACGTTTTTTTAAGTACGAACGTTAGAATTACTTTGTGAACTCTTTGTGACAATCTTTGTCCCAATAGTATAAAGTATAAACCAATTATTCCCGATTTACGTAACGAGAAGCTATAACGAATTATTCTATCGTAATTCTTGAGAATAAAAACTTTTAAATCTCTTACATTTTTTCACATACAATTAATTATATCAAAAATTATTGTATTAAAAATTTCTATCTATACGGTTATTTTATAGGATAAGATTTCATAAATATTCGATAATAATTGATTATTTTCAATTATAATAATCATATCTTGGTTTTTTTATTTTTGAAATATATAAAAATTTAGCATATCATTAATTTATAAAAAATTTTTCTTGTTATTATATTATTTCCTTTCTTTTAGGTGTTGTTGGATTTTCAGCTTTATATTTGGTATTTGGTATAGGTCAGCAATTAGTTTGTAATATCTTTGGATTTATATATCCTGCATATTGTTCTATGAAAGCCTTAGAAACTCCTAAAAAGGAAGATGATACAAAGTGGCTGACCTATTGGGTTGTTTTTGCAGTTTTTACAATTGTTGAATTTTTCTCAGATTATATTTTATGCTGGTTTCCAGTTTATTGGCTCTTTAAGGTATAAAATTTCAACATATTTTAATTCTATTTATTATAAATATAAAATATAAATTATATATGATTTTGATTTTCACAGTGTCTCTTTTATATGTGGCTAATGGCACCTATTGATCGTAATGGCTCCTTAATATTATATCACTGTATTATTAGACCAAACTTTTTAAGATACCATCAAAAAGTTGATGAGTTAATATCATCTGCTCAAGATGCTGGTATATTTATTATATTAAGATATAATATAAGATTAATTCTTTTTAAATTTTATTAAAATATATTTTTATTTCAACAGTTAAAGCTGCAACTTTGCTGACAGAAAAACAAGAGTAATTTTCTTAATTTTAAAGGCGGCTTAAATTTTATATTGCCTTCACTTTTTTTTTTAATAAAAAAATAATGCCTTAAAAAGTTTTACTGTTTTTTCTTGTTATTTATTCTTAATAAAAGAAAAAAAGAAGGAGAAGATATATTTGATAGCTTTAATCTCCGATATACAATGTTTATAACATTGTAAATTTTATAATCAACTGTGCCTATTATTCAAATGCTACTATGAATATTTGTAAAATCCAATTACCAATATGATATTGTATTTGTTATAAACTCTTATATTTTATAATGAATAGTACTTCATTATCTTAAAATATAATTCAACAAGTTCTGTAAAAATGGCTGTGTAATATTAATTTATGTTATGACAGTTAATGATAAATTGCGAATTAAAAGAGTTAATTACTAGTTATAAGATAATTTAGATTATTATATCAACTTCAACAAAATATCATTTTCTAATGATATTTTAACACTAATTATAATTCAATATTAATATTTTCAGCACTTATAAGCATTACTTCTAACACTTTCTACTATTGTATAAATATTTGTGCAAAGATATTTTTATATTTACAATCATCACATTAATAGATAAATTTTAATATTGAAAATAAATGTATGATAATTTGCAAATGTTTGAATTAATTATTAAATAAATAATCTTTATAAAAATACATTATAACTAAATATATTGTAATGTACAAATGGCACAAATTATATTCTCAAAGTTTGTAAATAAATTTAGGTTTAAGACAATAAGAATGTGAATATATAATGATATGTGATGATGTGAAAGATTAATTTATTTAAAATAATTTTTTTGAAATGAAATAGATAATAAACCAAAAATTATTGATATTTCATAAACAATTAAAAATTTTAACAATTTCATTCAATCCCTATTTTGAAGCAAATCATTTGTTTTAACGCAAACAAAAAACTGTTTATGAATTTTTAAAATATTAATTTTTTATTAATTTTAAACCCATATTTAGAATTTTTTTCTTTATTTAATGAATATTATTTTACAAAATCAATTATTTAATTATTATTCAATTAATATAATCTCTCTTATTCTTGTATGAAAATAATAATTAATGAAATTAATTAAAGAAATAATATAAGGATAAAAAATAATAAAAATTTAAAAAAAATTAAACAAAGTTAAAATTATTTTATTAAAAATAAGATTAGTAAATAATAATAATATAATTCTTAAATACTAATTCATCACACGATAAAAATATTTTTTAAAATAAATTTCTTCACGAAATCGTATATATTTTTCGTGCATTTATTATTTTTCTCACATTAAAAATTAAAAAATCAAATATTTCTAATTTATTTTGATTCTCAAAATATCTCATAAGTTATTCAAATCTACGATTAAATATTATTTCAGAAAAACTACAAGACGTCATTCTATTGTCGAAAATTGTAATAACAGAAATATTATTTCTTGAGATATGAATCGTAGAAAAATCGTAGAAAAAATAAATATTTTATCTTTCTTTTTAGTATTGTTATTATTATACCTGATAAATTTTAATGTACAGGTACATATATAATATATGATAATATTTATGATTATATATATTCAAATTTAATATTATAAATTTATTTAATTTATAAAAACAATATTATATAATTGATATCAATAATATTTATAGTAAAAATAAAATATGAAATATCATAATATTAGTTTTAAAAGTAAATTTAAAATCATTTCTATATTTCTAATTGTGCATTTTACTTAATTATTTCTATTAATTCATTTACTAGTTTATTTCTTTTATTTTGGAATAATTGGAAAATAATTCGTAAAAATTGAAAACTTTATTAAAACTTTATTAAAATTAAATTTAATTATTTATTTATTTATTTTTACGCGATATTAATTTTTAAATACACGAAAAAAATTTTTTAAAAAGATTTTTTAACGGTCTTTTGGAAAGAATTGAAATGTCGCCAAATTTTGACACTTGGTGTCTCTGAATGCTCTGGATGTTCCGCGCGCAATGTAGTAAAAGGTCGTTCAGCAAGTCGTCAATTTAAATTCATTTGTTGTAACACGTGTCAGTGAATACTTATATACTTATTGAGTATTGTTATTATTTATATAAATATTTTTAAACTAATATTTTAATAATAAAAAATGTTACGAGAATCAGTTGAAGAAATAGCCGGAAAGCCTGGTTTGTACTTTTCATTTTTTGGGTTTCTATGCGCACGCGGTTCACTTCGCTGAATATAACGGTCGATTCAGCATTGAATATCATATTCTTATCAATTCTATAACGTGTTTTTATATAAATTTTTATTTTAGAACTTTTTTGAATATATAATTGACATTTTTTTTAAAAATTTGATTATATCATTTTATTTTTTTCTACTTTTTTTTAAATTTTTAGATGGCAAAAATCGTATCCACACTGAGACAATATCGGTTGATTCACCACTTCGTAGAAGTTCGCGAATTAAGCAAAATCTTAAACAAAATGAATTTTCACCTGAATCGTCTCTAAGCGACGCTAATAATACACAAACTTCAAGGAGTCCAAGACGACGATTAATTACCATGGACAATACGGTTTCTATTGAAAATCAAAGAAATTTACGTTCTAGGACAAATTCTGTATCTTCAGATATTAGCGAAGTTCTAGAAACAGGTATTAGTACACCAACAAGAAAAACTAAAAATAATGATAATAAAATGATAGGTAATCGAAGAAGGTATGTACAATAACCAATAATTTGTATATGATTAAAATCTTGTTATCTATCATTATTTTTTATTATTTTTTTAGTAAACGCCTTGTAAGAGCTGGATCAGAAGCGAATTCACCACCATCAGCAACAAGAAACACACGTAATACAAGAGCTAGTTCTATGGGACCTGAAGCTACATCTGATAAACTAACAGAAAAGCGAAGCAATGAATTAATAAGTACATCTATTAGAACAAGAAGACGATCTTCATTAATATTTTCAGAAGTAACTACAGAAGAAAAAGGAATATCTATGAAAATTCCTAGGGTAACATTAAATCGTACATTACCTGATATTAATGAAAGTACACAATCAGGTATTTTTAGATCTTATATTTATTAAAATATATTTAAATTCTAAAAATTCTAATTTTATAATATCATTAAATTTTAAAACATTTTTGTGATATTAAATTTTTTTTAGACTCAAAAAATTCTCTTAAACCTATAGAAGAAGATGATTCATTGTCATTTTCTAAAAACAAATGTGATACAAGTCATAACAGTATATGTGAAAAATATTTAGATAATGATGGTAAGTTTAATTTATTCTTATTCTCTATAATCTATGATATATAATTATTATTCTAGTTCTATTAATTATACAATTAAATTGCAATTTATCATAATAATATTTTTTCCATTTTTTATATAATATAAAATAATAAAATGTTTAACAAAACGTTATAACAAAAAGATTTTATTAATAATATTTTATTAGTAAAAATTAACATAAGAACTAACAGATATTTGTATTTACATTTACTACAGTTAAGATAACACAACACAATGCTCCAGAAAATTCTTCTTCAAATAAAATTGAAGATGTTGAGAAGAATTTAATTATGGATAATAAAAAAATAGCAGATAATAATAAAAGTGCAGAATTAGAAAATAACAAAGCATTATCTCCAGATATTACAATAAAAGAAAAATCAAATAAATCTCAAATACTTTCACAAAATGAAAACCAAAATATATCCATGAAATCAGAACTTGAGAATTTAAATGATACTTTGGAAAAACATGAAGATAATAGTAATAAAAAGATTCTTACAACAAATATTATTATTGACTTACAAAACATGAATAATACGCAACAAAATCCACGATCTAGTTTAATTTCAAATAATTCAAATGAAGATAAATGTAAATCTCCTTGTGTTAAAATAAATTTAACACCAAAACATTGTTCTAAAAAATTATCAGATGTGTCAAATGATAATGATAATGTTTCTCTAAAAAAAGTTGAAAATATAACCGATTCAATTAATGATTTATCAGTTAAAAGTATGGATATTTCAATAAATCAAGAAAGTAATTCTGATAATATGAAAAAATTAATTACAAGTCCAGAAACAGAGCCAGGCAATGGTAATCCATATAATGAAAATCTATCAGATAAAAATCTTTTTATACATTTAAATGATAATAAAAAAGACATAAATATAGCAAATGATAATGAATCTATAGAAATTAATTCTAAATTAAATAAAAAATCAGAAGAAATTGATAATATGAATATCAAAATGGATATTTCATGTGAAAAAGAAAGCATGAATGAGGATGATTTTGAAAAAGATAGTACAAACCAATGTAAAATTACAAATGACCAATGTGAAATTGAATTAAATATTAAAATGGATATTTCAAGCGAGAAGGAAAACATGAGTGAAAATGATTCTGAAAAAAATAATACAAATCAATATAAAAATACAAGTGATCAGTATAAAATAAAAAATAGAAATAATGAATCAAATACATCAGACATTATATATGAAAATGATGAAATAAATTGTACGAAAGAGATTTTATCACCTAAATTAAATAATAGAGAATTATCAAATTCAATAGACATGAAATTAATTGATATTCATAACTTCGATAAATCAAAACATGAAGATACGAATTACTTAGAAAAAATAAATGAAATGAATAATTCATCTTCTGATCTATCAAAATCTTGTAATACTGATATGAGTTCAGAGGATTTAATTGTAACCAATATAAAAGAAGACAATGTAACTAATTTGAACAAAAATAATTATCCTGTTACAGAATCTACTGATTTGGCTCAAGTAGCATCTGAAAAACAAGAACATTTAGAAAAAGATTCTGTATTAGATAATTCTACTGATTCTTTAATGTTGAAGAAACAATTACAAACAAATGAATTACAATCAAAAGAAAAATATCCAGATATCAATAAACCAATATCCAAAGAGTATCAAGAAAAGATTCAAATTGGTGATAATAATTCTGATACAAATATGACAAATTTATTTCAAGACATTCCAGCTACCGAATGGAAAGAAAAAAATAATGAATATGATAAAAATTCTGAACATTTGTCAACTGAAAAATTGGAAAATCAAATGGAAAGTGATTATGATCTTATTTTAGTCGATAAAGAGGCATATTCATCTGCAGAAAAACTAAAAAGAGAGAAAGAAATATTTGATTATGATTCAGATGATACTATTATATTAAAAANGAATCTAATAATAGTATAGATTCTGATATTCAAAAGGAATATAATTTTCACGGTAAAAACATTTCGAAGTTTTCCGATGATGATATACCAGGAGATGAATGTAGAGCATCAGAAACGGAATCATCAGATCCAGATGATAATGGATCA